AGACAGACCTGAGCATCAGAGTGAGCCCTTAATAACCCATTAAAATAGATAGATGAAAACAAGATGCAGAAAAAGAGTTAACAAAAGCCAGCTTAAGTAAATATAATAACTGTAACAGAAATTCTTAAGTTAGATAAAATACATGATGAAGATTAAAAGCTAAATATAGCCATGTGTCTCTTAAAGTTAGCTCAGATAACAACAAACCTCAGATATGAACACCCACTGTTTCATAAGATTTTTTTCTCTGTATTTTTTTAATTAATCATTTTATTGGGTGCTCTTACAGATATTATAACCATCCATATTTCAGTTAAATAAAGCATAATTTTACAATTGTTACCACCATCAGCTTCTTTCTTCTTGAACTTTGATATCAGTTCCTCATTATCCCCTCCCTTCCCCGCCCTCTCCCCCAGAACCCGTATTTATATCATACATTATTTGCCATATCTTACACAATCCAATGTTTATCTGTTCACATGCAATTCTCTTTTTAGTTCCCCTTCCATAAGATTTTTTTTTTGTTTTAAGAAGCAGTTCCACTTTTGTATATTATTTCCCCCTAATAGTTTTCATGAGTCCTTAGTGCCCCCTCCCCGAATTAATGGGCAGCATTGCTCCAGAGCACATTCCAACCCCTGTGGTACTGCTTCCTTTTTTCCCTCCTCCTGGCTTCATCTACCCGCTCATCCGGCACCCGTTCGCATTAAACTCTCATCATAGGGCAAAACCTGCCATGGGCCCCCTTTCTGCTTTTGCTGCACCTGCAGGGCCGGAGCCATCTATTGACTCCAGATAGCATTAGCCAGGGCCATCAGTGTCAGCTGTGTCACTAAGAACCTGAGGCCATATGACCCATTTCTAGCCGTATGACTCCTTCCCCTACAACAAGTCCTGATGTAGCTATTAGGGTAGCTCCTGACCTACTCGCTCCCTGGCAGAGCCAACCTCATCCGTCCAGTACAGCTCTCTGGCTTCATCCAGTAGACTCTCATAAGGTGTCAACATAATAGGCTTTAAGGAGTCTACTACAGATGGTGTCCACACAATGTCCAAATCGGCTAACAACCCATTTCACAGAATGACCTGATGTATTAAGTGACATATACCTGTATTATATTATGGTAAAATTAATAAGCCAAGAATACCTACCACCCCATCAGCAATTTTCTGGACTTCATGAATTTCATATAGTTGTAGCTGCTTTTCAAATAGTTGGGCTATAGCTCTATGAACCAGCTCATACTGCTCCTAATAGGGAGATAAAAAGATAAACAAATAGTTCATGTATAAATATATAAAATGACAACATTTATAAAAATATATTTAATAAATGAAAACAACCATACCTTTGTTTGTACTGCAGAATGCCTTTGTGTTCTCATTTCTTGTATTAAATTAAATACATTAAATTCTTCGGGTATTTTCTAGAACAAGGAAATTCAACACAAATATTCAGTCAAGTCTTCAGATAGTAGTAAAATAATCTTCAGCTTTTCATAAATTCATATAAATACTGGGTAACTAGAAACATTTGGATACAGCTAATTTTGACCCTAAACTGTCAAGCAGGGGAGCAAGGTAGTTGAGTAAAATATATCTAGCCAAGAAATGAGATCAGTATACTGAGAATAATAAAAAGCATTTATTTGATGACTGTATGTAGTGGTAGTTTAACTCGCTATGAGTTGGGCTGCTCAGGTCATCATGAGAAAAATGAGCCTTTCTGTGCTATAAAGACTATTACCCTCAACAATCCACCGAGGCAGCTCTATGCTGTCTTACAGGGTCACTGTGATTTGGAATTGACACAACTGCAAAGCTATAGTCTATTAAAAATGGCAGAAATATACAAAGGCATGATAGGTTAGAGAATTGTTTTAAGTGTGGTGTGGCTAAAGTCCAAAACTGAAGGAAGAGGCAGATATTCAAAGCAGGGGAGAAGATATGCTATTTGGGAATCGGTCTGTAAGTACAGGCATCTCCTGAACTAGTTAGGGATCTGTAAGAGTCAGGTAAAAATACAGATGCTTCAGCTACATCCCTGCAGACCGACTGTGAAACACAATAACCAATTATTTGGTACACTTGGGATAGGCTATATTGCCATAGGCAACTGTGACATGAGAAGATTGGTTTTATCTAAGCAATTTTTGCCAACAGAGGAAAGTAGTCTGAAAGGGAAAAAGAAACTGGCAGAGGTTTATTGCAAAACTCTAAAGAAAGAACAGGGCATGGGGACTATTTCTGAGGCAGAACTATTAGAATTTCCTGTTCAATAATAATGTTTTAGAGTGATGAGGGAGATGAAAAGGAAAGGATGAATCCCAAGCGTATTGCCTATAAAAGTTTATAAATGTTGAGTTTTACATCAAGTCTAAAAGCAAAGCCTATATTATGCTATGCCAGACTCAATAAAAATGGGGAGTATGACTAAAATACATAATTTTTTTAATAACCAGATGTTTACTTCATTGCTGGCATTCATCTAAAATTATACACCTCAACAATTTTTATAATCTTTGACTTATGCTCACACGTGATAGAATCCTCAAAACTCAAATTCAAACTCACTGCCATTAAACTGACTCCGACACACAGTTACCTTATAAAACAGAATAGAACTGCCCCGTGGGTTTCCGAGATGGAAACGCTTTATGGCAGCCGTTGGGGGGTCTTAATTTGCTGACCCTGTGGTTAGCAGCCCGACTCAGAACACGATGCCAAATTTTATCCACGTCATGTGTTTCATTTCAGTATTACGGGCAGTAGCTTTTGGGGAATATAAAATTCAGCCCCAGAAGGTTTTAAAACAAAACTGTTGAAAATTTAGACATTCCCCAACAAAAATGAAATAAAGAAAAGAAAGAAGGCGGGGAAAGAAGAGAGCAAAAGAGGTTTTAAAAAAACCACACTAAATATTTACTCAGAATCTAAAACCCTCTGCCATCCACTTGCTTCCGACTCATAGTAACCCGACAGGAGTGACTAGAGAATTTGAATTGCCAAATTTTGTTAGGAGCTGAGTGCTTTAATCAAAAGGCCACCATGGTTCCTCAAACATTTATTAATCTTATTTTAAATAACATGGATTAACATATTCATAGTAACTATTAAGATATGAATAATTCAAAGTTCCTCCTTAATGCTTATGAAACGGCAGATTGAGAAACCAGTAAGTGAACCAAGTCTACAAAGAATAAGATGATTTGTGTTTTTCAAATCTGTAATGAGGGCTGTGTCTTATCTTTGTATCCTTCATAGTTTCAAACAAAATTCTTAGAAATACTAGCAGTAACAACAATAATAGCAAACGTATTAACTGCCTTTGAGCACGTTATAAGCTACATGTTGTTCTAAAATATTTCACATAGATTAACTTCCTAAATTCTTATGAACATCATGAAGTTATTACTCTTAGGGGCCTGTTTTCAGATGAAAAAAAAAAAAAGATTACGCAACTTCAACAAGGGCGCACAATCATTAAATGACATAGCAAGAATTTTCACCTGGCCAGTTTGGTGCCTGAGAGGCACTCTTAATCATTACACTAAAATGCCTCCAAATAGACATACATGTTTTCTGAATGGAATATAGTTATAGCTAAAATAACTATGAACAGCAATGAGAAGTCTGTACTTGGAAAAATATCAGTGGAAGGTTTTGGAAAAATATCAGTGGAAGGTCTACATCCCTAATACAAACAAGTATTCACTCACTTACAAAAAATAGGTGACACAGCCTTACATTGTCACCCAAGGACTTATCCCAAGGGAAAATACACCATTTGTCCTTTTTCGCTTTCTTTGATTGTAAAGCTACTTCTTGAAAAATTTACAATATGGAACAAAACATGTTCTAATTTGCTGCAATTAAACATTAAGTTTGAAAGTCATAATAATACAGTACAATATAATACTACCAAAGAATTATTCTTACCCCAGCTTTTAGTAAGTTCCATGTATAATCTATGGCACAAATGGCACCTGTTCTTCCACAGCCTGCACTATGGGCATAAAGTTAGAAAAGACAATTAGATTTTTGTTATAAAAGAGCTAGAAAATAAATGTAAATGGATAAATTAATATTCAAGACCAACAAAGAAGTTATGTAAGAAATATGATGAAATCCTACTTATTTAGTAAACATGCTATAAAATAAAGTGTGCGCACAGTAAATATACTTAATTTTAGTATTTATATTTTTAGATTATTTATCTTAACTTCTAAGAGTGAATGGCTCACAGACTATAGAGAAGCACTGGTTAATGTCAAAATACTACATTCCTTCTATTACTCAGAAAATTCTGCCTGAACAGCAGTGTCTTACAGAAATTTATTCTGTGTTCAACATGGACCTAGAGTTTTAGAGAAAGAAGAGTACATAATTTGTATCTGTTTAAACGCCAGCAGTGAGTCCAAAACAACAAAGACAACTGATGCATTCTTTATCTCCCGAAGAACTATCAGACGCCAAAGGATATAAACTAACACAAGATTTTTATTAAAACACATGACACCCCCCTACAGAGGACAAAACTAAACCTACAGGTTGGGGAGAGGGGCCGACCTGCCACACCCAAACAGAAGAAGCCAAAGAAGGAAAAAGAAAGAGGGAGGAACTAGACCCCATACTGGCACATCAAGCCCTGAGGATAACAGCCATGCACAGACTTGCTAAGGTACAGAGAGGACTGTAGGGCCAAGCACAGCTCCATACATGAGTCCCTCGCTGGAGCATACTGCGACAGAGGACAATACTGGGGACACACATGGGGAGTGAGACTGATCTGACCACCCCATAGTGGGGTGAACCAAGAAGGGAACATAATAGACCAGGAACTGGAGCAAAGCAAAGCCACAGAATCCCTGAGGAGGTATCAGACATCAAAGAACAAAAAATCTTATCATTGTGAATAAGGGGGAGTGTGGAGTGGAGACCCAAAGCCCATCTGTGGAGACCCAAACCAAAGCCCATGTCCAGTGGAGATCCAACTGGACATCCCCTTACAGAAGGGTCACGGGACCTTCCCCCCACTATCATGACCCCAATTCTATGTTACAAATGCGGCTAGACCAGAGGATATACACTGGTACAGATAAGAGCTTAAAACACAGGGAATCCACAATAGATGAGCCCCTCAGGACCAATATTGAGAGTAGCAATACCAGGAGGAGAAGGGAAAGGTGGGGTAGAAAGGGGGAACCAATCACAAGGATCTACATATAATCCTTTCCCTGGGGGATAGACAACAGAAAAGTGGGTGAAGGGAGACATCGGACTGTGTAAGACATGACAAAATAATAATAATTTATAAATTAACAAAAGTTCGTGAGGGGGGCTTGGAGAGGGAAAAATGACCTGATAGCAAGGTCTGAAGTAGAAAATGTTTTGAGAATGATGATGGCAACAAATGTAAAACTGTGCTTGACACATGGATGTATGTATGGATTGTGGTAAGAGTTGTATGAGCCCCTAATAAAATGATTTTTAAAAAAACAAACCCTGAGGAGCCCCCAAAATAGACTTCAGTCTAGGAGGGGCAGTTCCCAGAATCCCCTAGGACTGGTGGGGAGTCAGGCATAAAGGTCAGGGGACAGATCTAGAATTATGCTTTTTCATTTTGGGGGGAAGTTTTTTGCTAATTTTTCTCCCTTATTTTATTTTTTCTATCTTTTTGTTCTTTTTGCTTACCTTTATAAGATAAAGGCCTTTTGGCCATCTAGCTCAGAAGCAACAAAGCCCACATGGAAGAAGCACAACAGCCTGTAAGATTACGAGGTATCGAAGGGATCAGGTATAAGGTATCATCAGAACAAAAAATCTTACCATAGTGAATGATGG